CATGTTCATATTTGACATGTTTAAATTTTTTAATGATTGTATTTGACTTATTTATATTAATTTTAAAATTTGAATGACTAGCTTATTTTTCATCTACGATAATTAATAATGATTTTATAAAATTAAGAAAAATGTTTAAATTTCTTAATGATTTTATTTGGCTTATATATATTAATCGATTAATTATTTCAACGACTTAATAAGTGATTTTAAATTTTGAATGAGTATCTAGCTTTTCATGTATGATTATTAACAAATGATTTTGAATCAATGATTTTATAAATCCAAATAAATAAACAATCAAATAAATTTTGAATTAATATCTATCCAATTTACACCAATTAAAAAAAATATAACTTATAAATTATAAAGAAGTTTTTGTACAATCAAATAATATTGACAAATACTAATAAATTAAGTAATTGAAGAAATGAAATAAAAAGAAAATGTATTAAATTATTATGTATATTGATACTAAATTAAAATGCTTTATTATTTATCATATAATACAATAAATTTTAATTAATCAAAGTTTATTTAAATAATATGTCATGTACGACAGAGCATTTAGCAAGTACTATCTTAAATAACATATTTTGATTTAATGATATTATAAATTCTTGCTCGACTTGAGCTCAAGCCGACTTTGGCATGGATATTTAGATTTGGCATGTTTAAACATTTTAATTATTATATTTGACTTATTTATATTAATCAGTCATTTATTTTAATGAGTTGACAAACAAGTGTAAAATTTGAATATAAGCAATTGAATAAATTTTAAATTAATATCTATCAAATTTACACCAATTAAAAATATATATATACTTTATAAAATAAAAATATGTTTTCGTGCAATCAAAAAATATTAATCAGTACAAACAAACTAACTCATAAAAAGAAAAAAAATAAGAAAGAAATGTATTAAATTATATATATATATATATAAATTAAAATGCATTACTATATAAATATATAATATGAATCAAATTTTATTTAAATAAATCACATATAAGATAGAACATTTAACAAGTTGTTTCTTGAATTTCAAGCGAGTTTGTTCATGAACATAAATAAATGAGTTTGATCCTGTTTAAGTTGATTCATTTAACATTTGATTTTTAGAAAATGTTCAAATGTATTTATTTACTAATTTGAAGGACTTTAATAGAGTATTAATTTAGTTAGATTTGAGTTGTTCTTCAGAGGCATTAGTTCATTTCAAGAACTACTTATATCATGCAATTGTTCTCACATTTAAGGGCATGAGCTATTATTTTAATGTATGCTTTAGAAGAACTATTCTTGGCCTAGACCCCACAAGACGTTATTTTCTTAAATTAATAATTGGGTAGTAAAGTATTGCAATTAGAAAAAAGAATAGGTTATTGAGTTCGCACTAAATATTTTATTAAGATGTCGATAGGTTTTTTTTTTTTTTTTGATATAATATTAATACACAATCAACACATTTTCATCATCTGAGACAAATCTTGAGGTATGGCATGGATCTCCTAATATTATTTTTGAGAAAGAAATGTTCACAGGGTTATAAAAAGTCATTCAGAGCACAGATTTAAGCAAACTTATAGTGAAACTGACCAAGTCAACGAGACAGACCGAATGATACCAAAATTGGTCCAATCTGTGTCAAACCAAGCTCTGATCAGGTCATTAAACTACTTTTGAAAACTTTCTGAGCATATTTAGAAAGTCAAACAAATGTTGAATATGGTAAGCTTATAATTTAATTGAGCATCTTGACGAGACAAATCCAACGAGTCCATAATCAATAAATTCTGACATCATTAAAATACTCAAATGTTCATCGCCCGATCAAATTAGTTTATCTTTCTGCATTAATTGCACTCGGAGCTCTATAAATAGTGTCTCACCCCTCTCATGGGAGGGGGAAGGAGGGCTTGAGGCCTGAAGAAGAACTTGAAGCTTAGAAGAGCTGAAGTCCAGTATCACCTCATCATCGACTGCCTTCGGCCGCCACTGACCATCAGACACTGACCGCCACCGACTACCAGTCGCAGACCGTTACTATCTCTGACTGATTATCACCAATCACTATCAGTTGCTGCCCACTTTTTACAATAAGTTTATTCATGCACCTACCTTGTAACTCCATAGAGTATTCAACCATGTCTCACATGTGGGATGAGGAACTGTACATTTAATATCTGGTTTATAGTTTCTACAGCCGGGCTAGGCCCCATGGTTTTTTCTTTTTCTATGTTTTCCACATAAAAATTTTTGGTATCTCTACTAGTTGTTTCTTTTACCTGAGTGTGTGTTGAACTCTCGTGCAAAGCTAAATCGATAATCTATTACTCCACTGCCGTAGATTTTTTAACATGCATCAAATGTAATATAAATCTCAATAGGATTATTCATCCATCAGATTCATCTAAAAATAAAATAAAATAATTTTGAAAATTAACCGTAGGGGTGGTCTAATTAATTACATTTCATCTATCTTTAAAAATGTTATATAAAAATTTATAAAAATTGAATAATATTCTCATCACTTTAGAGGATATCAAAATGATACTTTATGCAGCACCAAATTTATTAAGGTTGACTTCATTCAAGTCCAACTACAAGTATAACTTAAAGCAAGTGATGAATTCAATTTAAAAATTGACTTCCAAGTAAAACTATAAGAAAATATTAATGGTGCAAAACTCCTGTTACATTCAATAGAAATTAGAAAATTAATTTGTCCATTCCTTAAAATAACTTATGATACCTTACAAGAATGCGAATGAATTAAATAAAAAGCTCCATTTTGAGTAATAAAATTTACTTTTTCTACAACATTAAAAAACTTTAAAAGTGACTTGAAGTTGGCCCCTCTCTAATAAATTTGCCAATGAAGCGAATTAAAAAGAAATAAAAAAAAGTAGGATCAAGCATAATTTCTTGATGAACTAAATCAATTGATGAAAAATGAAGTTGTCTGGAAATAGAGAGCACATTAACTTGCAATTGGAAACATCTTTGAGTCTTTAAACATTAGGCTTCATAGCAATGTTCATTGTGGACTTATTCAAACAATAGTTGGAAAGCTCATGTATCCTCCAAGCTTATTCTCTACTAAAGTTAAGTGAAGTCCTTCAACCTTAATAAAAGTTCTTATTATAATGAGTTCATCCAAAAGGTTGACTTTAATTGAACTAGTGTAAGCTCAATTGGGATAGATGGATAACTTCAATGAATAAAATTCAATCATTAAGTCTTCAACTTTTCTTATCAGAAAAAATTCTTGTATCATCGTGTGGAGTTATTGGAGCAAGATTATATGCCTCAAAGTTGTGATCTAATGCCTCATATTTCTTCTTTTTTTTACCTTTATGACTTCAACAATATTGGTACCATGGGTAACTTGTTAGCAACTATCTTAGGATATAGAGTAAGGTATTGAGTATCAAATATTAATTCCCTTAAGAATGGTTGAGTTCTTTTCCCATGTGATAATAGGGATCTTCTAATAAGAATCTCAGACTTAATTTAATCAATAGAAAATTTGGAGTGGAAGACCCCCACTATGTTCAATTTCATAAGGTCATATGAGATCTTGCAAGTCTATAGTCCAAGTTGGATTTAATGAAAGAAGATATATTTATCACTATCAAAGTTGACTTCACTTTTGAGCTAACATTTTATTGCATTGTACTTAGATTCCACACAAAAAATTCTTTTTAAATCATTGACTGGGTCAATTTAGAAATCATTATCCCGAGCAGTTTAATTTATTATAGTGGATTGACCCTTCCCAGTATACACCTTTCAAACTAAGCAAGAGGAGTCAAAAAAATTGTTGACTCATGAATTTTAGGATCATTTTACTTCTTTACTCTATTCTTTAAGAACTTCTCTATATAATCAATTTTACTTGTAGAATAAAATCGTACATTATATTTAGAGAATATTAGGGATCAAAGATAGTTTCTATATAAATAATCTTTTTTAAAAAGCATCACCTCCTTATATTTATTTTGTGTGAAAGAAATGATAGCTTGATCTAGAGGATTCTTAACATTGAAGTTGACAAAACACATCTTCTTGGTAACAAAAGAAAATTTTCACAAAGAATATTTAAGGTGGATGATAAAATAAGTAAAACTTAATTAGGAATCCCTAGATTATAGACATAGAATTTTTATAGTGCTACATGTAAAGAAAAATCAAATCAGCATAATCATTCATAATTGGTGTGAAAATTCGTCAGAATAAAACTTGAATTTTTAATTCTTTCCTACTTTTATGAACATCTTCAAAAAAGCACATGATTAAATAAACTAAAAATACACCCAAGTATTTCCTAAGTCTAGTTCAATTCATTTTCTTTGATAATATATTGGGTTTAATGCTAGTATGTCATTTAAGTAGGATCAATATAGGAGAGTTGTCAAGTGCGATGTCAAACAAGCCATCAAGTTCAAGTCGTCCAAATTAGGCTTCTACTATAACTGAGAATATTTGGCTAAAAGGCTAAAAAAATTCACTCAAGGCGCCAAAGCTAGTAGTTTAACTTGCCATGGATACTTGGCTAGCTCACCAAATTA